AGTCAAATAGTCAAACTACCACAGCAAACAAATCTTTGCAACTTAATCTAAGTTTTAATTATATTATGTAAATGGTTTAAAAACCGATTTACAAAAATAATCAGTAAATTCAATTGAATGTTAAACAGCAAAAATAATAACTAATTAAAATGTAATTTGTCGATATTACTAAAACAAAGGATTTGTTATTGTATTTAGTGATTTTTTGCTGCAAGAATTGTTGCAAAGTCTGATCAATTTTATTTTAATTTCTTTCAAAGAGCTTACATACCTTCATATTGAAATGGGATTTATCGGTTCACCGCTTGGCATAGCACCCATTAAAATTATAATTATCGGGTCATTCTTTGGGGGATAGACCCCATATAAAGCCCCACACCCATTATATGCATTTTGATGGTCCATTCTATAATTCAAACAGTAATTTTATTTTAAAACTTCAACCAAATCCAAATTTGTATTAAATTTAGTACTGTTTAGTACGCTTCTCCACCTCCTTACCTACTTTTCAACGTTGATTGGCATTCCAAATTTCAAGTTTTTAGCTCTATCCCTTCACATGCTACGAAATTGTACCAAGTTTAATACATTATTTTAATATTTTCGGATTCTTATAATTCGAATTTGCAAAAAAAAAAATGTATATATATTATATACCCACATTTGAAGTTTCAGAGTTCTAGCTCGACCGGTTTGACAAATACAAATACATTTGTACTAGAAATGTGCCGAATTTCCAAAAACCCAGCCTTATTTGACAACTTTGTGCTAGGAAGGTTCTAGCTTCAGCAGTTTCGTCCCGGCGTTGATGAATCTTTAAGTCAGTCAATCACTTTACTCTTATACAGATAAAGTCCCCGACCAAAAATCGCGTGAGATGTCAAATTTTTCAGTCTGAGTGCATGTACTTTGGCGTTTCTGGTGGCAAATTTGCATTTTACATATTTTCCATTTTAGATATTATTTACAAAGTTCGAGCCTGCCGAAGTTAATGACTTGTTTTACTTTTAACCATTCGATCGCTTATCTCAAAAATTTATTTTTTCTTTAAATATTGATTAATGCAAATGAGCACTGCTTGTTTTTATACACTCCGCCATAGTATTGAGGGTATATCAATTACGTCATTCCCTATGTAACTCATTGAAATATTCATTTTCGACCCTATATATTATATATATTATTGGTCAGGTTGAAATTCTAAGAAGATCTAGCCCTGTCCGTACTTCCGTGTGTTGTAATCACGCTATCTTCTGAAGGAATTGAGATAAGTTGCTAAAATAGGCTTGTCTTTTGTCTGCAGGCAGGTCAAGTTCGAAGATGGTCTATATCGGTCTACGATTAGGCATTGCCCCCATATAAGGGTACCCCCGGTATTTTGAGGTTCTTGAGCGCATTTTTCAACTGAATTCGTTAAAATTTGGCACATTGGGTTCTTATTGGGTAGCAAATCTCTCCACTAAGAATTATAAATATAGGTCCACTTTTTCGGATTACCCCCATATAACGGTACCCCTAATTTTCTGTATTTTGGGGTTCTGGAGCGCGTTTTTCAAACGAATTCGCTAAAATTTGGTACATTGGGTTCTTATTTGGTACCAAATGTCTCCACAAAAAATTATAATTATAGGTCCTCTTTTTCGGATAGCCATAACGGATAGATATAACGGTACACCCAATATTCAGTATTTTTGGGGTTCTTGAACATTGGTACATTGGGGTCTTATTGAGTAGCAAATGTCTCCACTAAAAATTATAATTATATGTCCTATTTTTCGGATAGCCATCATATAACGGTGCACCATATATTCAGTGTTTTTGGGGATTTTGAACGTATTTTTCGAACGAATTGGCTGTAATTTAGTAAATGCAGTTCTTATTGGGTAGGAAATCTCTCCACTAAAAATTATAAATGTTGGTCAATTATTTCGGATAGCCGCCATATAAGGGTACCACCCCGAATCCCCTGTAATTTGGTGTTTTGTAGTCATATATGGTAACAAATCTACCTCCCAAATAATATTAATATTCGCCGCCATTTTTAGGGTAGCCCCCATAAATAACCCCACTGTTTTAAATTAAAACAGTTAACTGATTTTTCCGCCTTTTGTGAATGTTCTCATATGGCCGTATTCCACCATAGTATGGGGGATATTATTTATTGGAATTCTAAGACGATTTTCTACCTTCGGATGATATCGAAACAAAAAAAAAACTAGATCGTCAGATCAGAGAAAGAACTATATAATGATACTTACTGATTTTCGTTATTTTTAATATTTAGGGTGTAGGAAGTTCGGAAGTTCTAATGTTCGGTAATTTCTACACGTAAATGTAATCAATATTGGACACCCTTGAGGCGTAGCCCCACATATAACTTTGTCCTCTAAATTGCCGTATTTTAAGGATTTTATACACATGATGCAACCTACCAAGCGCCACCAATATCGGACCACGATTTGGGATTTTGAGATTTTAGGGAAAATCCCCAAATAAAAATTGCTGAAATTTTAATTTCGTGTTCGCTTGGTACAAGTGTCGGTATAGATCCATTTTTTTGGTATATTCCATATATTCCTCCATTATTCTGTAACATTAGAAGTCTCGACAGTATAACATAGTTGAAGGGTAAACGGCAAATGGCATTTTTCTATGTGTGAAAATTTAAGGAATTTAATATTAATATTTTTCATATTTCTGGTCGTCAGTACCAGACCACACTTAAAAAGGTCATTCGCTGTAGTATTGTTCCAAGTGGAATTTGGAATATTAATTTCATGTAATTGTCTGTATACGCATGGTTGAGGGTATTCAAAGTTCGGCCCGGTCGATCTTAAGGCTTTTTTCACTTGCGCATTTTTTTTGAGATTTTGAAAAGATCAATTTCTAAATTGTCTTAATGACAATCTTTTTATCTAAAACCTAATTTGGCAAATAATATTTCTCTTTAATTCAAATTTGAAAATACCCAATTATAAAATTTAAATTTAAATAAACAAATAAGCTATTTAATACTTAGTAAATATTATTAAAAGCAAACAGTATAAAAAAATATTTAACATCATTTTAAATAAACATCATCTACAATTAATTATAATGTATGTTTTTATTATTTATATATATATAAAAACAAATATTATTGGAATACAAAAATCTTATTAAATGCAAATTATAATAAATTATTTTCATTTCTTATGTATACAATCTGTAGAATGTTTTCCTTGTGTGGTAAAAGTATTTACTTATATATATATATGTGTGTGTGTTTCTTTGTCTTCAAATGTTATTATTAATGTTAAATTTATATGTATCATATATTTTAAATCGATATATGTTGTTCTTGAATTATGATGTTCTATTTTGTTTTTCCACTTATTTAATTATTGTTTCAATTTTTCTGTGTTTATGATTTTTTTTTTCATTAGAATATTTTGTTAAGCTAAAGAAAATAAAACCTCATTAGCATCTAGATATTATTTATATATAACTACTATTTGTTGTTATGAAGATGTATGAAATTAATTCTGTAAATATTTCTGCAAAATGTAACTATGAAAAAAAAACTACAACAAAATAAAAAAAAGTTCTAAAAAATGTTGTGTTTTTATACATAAACTATATATTTATTCTCTATTTGTTATATATATGATAATTTTAATATATTACAATTTAGTTTACCTTTTTTTAGCTAAAATAGTTTCAATTTAATTCGATTCATTGAATTTCCATTCCTTTTTTTGAATATGGAAATTATATATGTATTTGCGAGTGTAATTTAAATTTATTAATCAAAAAAAGGTCAAAGAGGTTAATAATTTTTAACAACATGTCATTCTGAGAATTTATGCAACAGAGATCTAATAAGAAATTTCAAAGCATCAAAAATACAATGAACTCCCGATAATGCGAACATTTAAACTGACATTAAAGTATTGAAAAAATTTGGGAATTAGCGGTTAAAATAAGCTGGTCGAATTGAAAATGTGAACAAATTCGAAAATATGAACTACCCCGACATTAATTAATTCACATTATCGAGAGTTCATTGTATTGGATGTTCACATTATCGAAAGTTCACTGCATTATATGTTTAGAGGAAGGACAAACCTCTACCCATTCTCGGTTAGAAACATTATTTTTTTAATCCAAAGATTATGCATCTGAACTAATATTGAAACTGAGAATATTTTCTTTAAAAATGTAATAAACTCAGTAAAATTAAAAAAAAATCAGCTGTACTGAATTCAGTATACCCTGCATAACTGGACTAACTTCGTTATTTTTAAATATTTTACAAAGGAAGTAAAGTTTGCAAATCAACACAATGGATCAATTGAATTTTGAAACTATTTTCAAATAAGAAAAACAAATTCAAAACTTTCATTTCTTTTTCCATATAAAAATGAATTTCCGAATCAAAAATGCAAATAAAATAAAAAACTAACCGCATGCCTTTTATGGTCTTTTTTCTTTTCTTTTCAAAATATACTTTGTTTGGAAAACAACACAATGACATTTATTATGCAAAAACAAACAAACCAACAAAAAAAAACATACAAACACTCACAACTACTACAACAAACGTGGTAATATGCGGGCGCCATCTGTAATCAATCCGTAATACAACCATTATATGATTATCGGAATATGGACGTGAATCTCTGGACCAACAACAATTTAACAATATTTATATTCATTTCTCTCATAAAATATTTGTTTTTTTATTATTGTTTTCCGTTTGCTGTGAAAATGTTGCATTCATTTTTGTTTGTTTTTCTTTCTTTGGATCGGAATGTATGTACTGTCAATGTTTGTTGTTGTAACACTTCCAATTAAAATCGACAAATTTACCACCACCATCACCACCATCATTATTGCCAATTCATACAAAATACACACATACACATAAACAAAATGGGACGCATAATTTTGCAAACGGACACGAAAATAACAACAACAACAAAACGCCCAATATCACCATTTATGGCTTTACCACACAGCTGCTGTTGCCGCTGCTGCAATGCGCGGTGTAGCCATACAACGTGGCCATGTCGGTATGGTCGGTGCTCCCTTCAATCCAGCCTTGGCTGCAGCAGTTGCCGCCCAACAACAGCAACAACGACAGGCGGCCGCTGTTGCAGTTGCGGCTGCCCAACAGCAACATCTTGGTCTACAACAAGCCCTACAACAGGCCCACCATCAGCAGACGCATCAACAGCCACAGGTTGCGGCAAATGCTGCTGCGGCTGCTAATGCGGCCGCAGCTGCTGCCGTCCTGCAACCCAGTGCCCAGCAGCAATTACAGACGCTTGCCCAAACGGCCACCGCCGCTCCAAATCCCCAACAATCGGCAATGGCCGCGTATGCCGCCCGTTTAGGTACAGCTCAACCGACAACACAACAACAGCAACAATCAGCTGCTGCAGCTTCAATGGCTGCGGCTGCAAATGCTGCCGCAGCGGCTAATGCTGCAGCAGCTGGTACCACATTGCATGGATATGCACCGTAAGTAGTTTTGAAATATTATATTCTGATTTTTACGTTTTCTTCTTTTTGTTGTATTGTTTTTTTAATTTCTTTTAATTATGTAACAATAGAATTTTTTTAATTATAATTTCTCACCTGTATGATTTTTCGTATGAAGAAAACGCCACAGAAAATAGAGAGCAATTATGTTTGTTTTTAGTATTTTCGTAAAATGGAGAAAAGTGAAAATGTTGTCAAGTCAAAATTTTTAATGCACAGTGTTTTTGTTTTAATTTCACATGGTTCGATGATGGATTTTCAAAAAACTAGAGAATTAAACTTCAGGAATTAAAAAAAAATATATAAATCGGACAACTTTTGAAATTTGGATAGTCCTAGCTGCATTACCCAAACAAAGTGGTTGAAGGTCTTCTCGCGAACATATTTCAAAGCCTAGGCCTCATGCAGGCTTAGGCCTCATTTAACTAAAGCCTTTCTCAAAATTTGTAATAAAAATAAATATGCCTCGGTGATTACCTATTAATTCGACGAACATTTCTTCCAAAAGTATATTCTCTACAATTGTATGAACTGAAAGTAGATCATAGATCAGACTAGAAAAAATCGCCGTGTGCGAAGGTTCTAGAGTTTTTTCACTGGATCTTGTATTTTTTCCAAAGTGCTTTCTCAGACCGAATGATGTAATATTCATCGTAATAATATGATAAGCGAGTGCCACTATATAATATACTAGCTTATACCAGCTACTTCGTTAGCGAATGTGGGAACTATTTAAACATGTATTAACATTTTCCCTTATTTTCACAGAAAACTGTGAATGTGTGAAGAAGAAATCAACATACACTCCAATCTCGACCATAATTAACATTTGAGTGCCATTTTGTGCCTAAACTACAGTGATCTCTCGATAATGTGAACACTCAAACTGACATTTAAGTAGTGAAAAAATTAGAGAATTTGCGGTAAATTTTGACCAAATATGAATTTTGCGAAAATATGAACTACCCCGACATTTTGGATGTTCAAATTATCGAGAGTTTACTGTACCTTCATACCTCAACACTATACGCCATTTTTGACAGCAGCAGAAATCTAGCTTTATACTAAATTTGGTACCATTTATTACCTTTTGTATGTTTGCAGTACTTCTTTCCAAAACTAATTCAAAGTTTCATAGTTCGAGCTCTATTGGTACACCCAAACCCAAATGTAGTACCAATTAGAATACACATTAATATAAATTTCCATAAGTACTCGCATAATTTAACAATTTCAGGATTCCAGCCTGATCGGTTCCCCAAATCCAAATTTGGTACCATCTAGTACACATAAGTACGAATTCCAGCATTCCGCAATCCTACGCTCCAACAGTAATCTTTATTCTAAATTTCAAGATTCCAGCTTTATCGGTTTTCCTAAATCTAAATTGTATTAAACTTTGTACCATTTAGTATACATAAATACGATTTTCTAAACCTAAATCCGTACGCATATTTCAGGATTTCAGTTTTGTCGGTTCACCTAAAATTCAATTTGTATAAAATTTAGTACCATTTAGTACGCATTACTTCAATAATCCAATTGAAATCACAGAAATCATTTAGTACGCATTACTTCAACAATCCAATAGAAATCATATTACCCAACGTCAGGATTCCAGCCCGAACGGTTTCCAAAAACTTCCTAAATTCCTAATTCCGGATTATCTAAATCCAAATTGTATCAAATTTAGTACCATTTTGTACATATTAGTACGAATTTCCAAACCTACACGCCAACTGTGATCCTAACACCAAATTTCAGAATTTTCAGATTTATCAATTCACGCCGAATTCAAATTGAAACCAATTTAGTTCCATTTAGTAGAAATAAATACAAATTTCCAAATTTCAGTATTCAAGCTCTATCGGTTAACCTACTCGAATTTGTACCAGATATAGTACCATTTAGTGCTGTTTTCGTACACACAAGTGCAAATTTCCAAAAGTACCTACATTCCCAATCCAACGTTAATGTAATTCAAATTGCAGGATTCCAGTTCCATTCGTTCCTCCAAATTAAAATTGTACCAAATTTAGTACTTATTGTGTACAAAAGTACATAATTCCTAAATCTATTCCTAATATCGACTCCGATAGTACTAAACTTATAGAGACTTGAAAAATCTTTTTCGACATTGGTTATCGCGACCAGTGTGCATCAGAGAACCTAAATCTTTCAATGGCGATAAAGCGCCAGCCTACAACACTCTAAAAAGAGTTGGTTTAACAGATTATGTAGTGGTCAACGCTCGTCCATCGACGTAGCCATAGGAGGGCTGGGGTTTCGAGCAATTTTTATTTTCACAATAAATTTAACAACAGCATAGTCTTTTTTTTCATTTTGTACCTGCGGTTATCCTAGAGAAGTGGTCGACCTTTAAATTGATAAAATTAATACTGGTTCTACGACAATGTCTAATAATAACATTGTCGTACTCTCAAATATTTCGCCGATTGCACATAACCGTAATTTATATCCACTTCAAGGGTAATGGTATAGGATATTGTATATTTGTCCCCTCCGATTGTGCTATTCCGCCAAATTTTCAATTGTAAAAATTATTATTATTTTTTTTTTCTTTTCTCCATTAACAATTTGCTCTCTATTATCTCGCCGCTCTCAAAGATTGTCACTAATTATGTTGCATACTTGTCTTTTTTTCTTTGAAAATAAAATCGCATTCCGCCTTTCTACATCATACATATTTATATGCGTATAGTTTGTAGTTTGCGCTTAACTAAATCCAAATCAACCTGAAAAAAAACTGAAAACTCAAAATAGTATCCCTGATTGAGATGTTGTAGATTTAAAGTTCTTGTGTTTGGTTTGGTTTTCTTTGTTTTCATTTAAAAAAAATATTTCAATTTCGTTTTTTGGGGTTCTTGTACTTGTAATAATATTATTATCCTAAATAATAAAAAAAACAACAATAATAATAAATATCTACAATATTAGCACAAATGTTCTTTAATTTCGAATTTCAAATCAATGGTCATTATTTAATTGCATTTATATTTATTCTTCTTTTTTTTAATAACATAATGTCTTAACTTATAAATATGTAATTTACTACTACTTTTGCATCGACAACAACTACAACAACAGCAACAAATTACTATTACAAAGTAATGGCTTTTGTCTAATTATGTATTTTAATAATGATTATGATGATAATGATTATTATTATAAATAGCATCAGCAACGACAACAGCAACAACAAAGCAAATTATTCTAGCAATTATAAACATTAGCATTTATTTACTAAACCAATATTAATTAGTTTTCAATTTGAATTTCAAAACAAAAAACAAAAACATCATCAACAACAACAATTTGAACACAAACGCAAGATAACCGCAACTTATTAAGGTATTTGTGTGTGTATGTATATGTGTGTGTGTGTGTCTGTTCTTTTTCTTTTCTCATAAAAGCATGTTTGGTAACCAAAACAAAAAAAACAACAACCAGAACCTGAATTTAAAAACTTGGCAGTTTGAGAATTAATTATGTGTTTATTTGAATATGATTATGACAAGTAAAGTATGTATTTCATATTACAACCGTATGTACTTACAGAGATGCGTTGAAGGGATTTTTAGAGCTACATTTTGATTATTAATTTTATTATTATTATGTAACTAAATACAATGTAAAGCAACCACAAAAAAAAACATACAACAACACTATGTAGTAAACCAAAAAAAAAAGAAACAACAACATATTCATTATTTTCAATATAGTTACAGATAGTATGCAAAATGTGTTAAGTTCAATTTATTATACCCTTCACCACACTGCGGTACAGGGTATTATGTCTTTGTGCATATGTTTGTAACAGGCCAAAGGGAACGAGATAGACACATGGTTCCTTTTGAGAATATGCATAGAATCACTTTCCGCCCGTCTGTCTTTCCATGTTAAATAGTAATCAAAGTACAGGTCGCATTTATGATACGAATTGGATGAAATTAGGAACAGCTCATTCATTTGATCCAAGGACGAACCATATTGATATTTCGATACCTATATATATTTCGTCCGATTTAATGTACATGGTGTACCAAAGTCGCTATATATCTCTCGATTTGCACGAAATTTGGCATAACGTACTGAATTCCGGTTTAATGTAAATGGTGCCCTCAAGTCCCTATATATCTCTCGATTTGCACAAAATTTGGCATAGCGTACTGAATTAAGTCTAGAATGACGTGTGTTATGTTTCATGAAAATCGATTCAGATTTAGATATAGCTCCCATATATATTTTCGTCCGATTTAATGTAAATGTTGCCCCCAAGTCCCTATATATCTTTCGATTTGCACAAAATTGAGCATAGCGTACTGAATTACATCTAGAATTATGTGTGTTAAGTTTCATGAAAATCGGTTCAGATTTAGATATAGCTCCCATATATATTTTCGTCCGATTTAATGTAAATGGTGCCCCCATGTCCCTATATATCTTTAAATTTGCACGAAATTGAGCATAGCGTACTGAATTAAGTCTAGAATGATGTGTGTTATGTTTCATGAAAATCGGTTCATTATTATATATAGCTCCCATATATATTTTCGTCCGATTTAATGTACATGGTGTACCAAAGTCTCTATATATCTTTCGATTTGCACGAAATGTGGCATAGCGTACTGGATTGAATCTAGAATGATGTGCACTAAATTTCGTAAAAATCGTTTAGATATAGCTGCCATATATATTTTCTTTCGATTTGATGTAAATAGTGCCCCCCAAGTCCTTATATATCTTTCGATTTGCACGAAACTTGGCATAGCGTACTGAATTGAGTCTAGAATTAAGTTTCCAGATTTAGATATAGCTCCTATATATATTTTCATCTTTCGATTTGCACGAAATTTCACCTGTAAATCGGAACAAAGTGCAGTCGGGTGATACCCTACAAAACAACAATCACAGAACATGGAATTTCTGCGGATCACAACGCCGCTCCCCGTGTGAAA